AATATTTTGTTCGAATGACAATGAAATGGAGGATTGCCATACAACCCTACCAAATCAAGTCTAAAAATTCTCACGTAAGAAAAGTACAGAACGCAGGACAAATTTAAATCAATAATAACTGAATCCTTGGCTCAATAATGAAACGCCCGTAAAAATATCGGTGTATTATGGATCAAAAAATAACATGGAAAAACGCATATTCAAGAAATACGATTAAAACATTCAAAATTAACAAACTTTCCCCTATTTAATAACAATCATAGCTTAATCTGGACTGCGCACTATCATATTTTTTTAAATGATAAAATAGTCCCCCTCATAACTATACGCCTGTCCAAATTTGAACAATATAGCAAAACACAATCTAAAGAAACTACAAATCATTCAAACAAGTACTACGAAAAGCTTACAAGGCCCTTGGTTTATTCAAATTAACGCAAATTCACGAGAGTAAACATTCCTTCCATTAGCAAACTATTCAACAGATGAGTAACAGATTTTTCAGCTGCCTTCCGACTGACAAGTCACAAAATTATTTCTAGGCAAAAATGCTTCCATCCAACCCGCATTATTTCCGAACCCAACAACTTCTTTAAACCACCTTAAATTAGAATAATTAAAGTAATATGATATAGTAGTAATATGGTAATAATAATAGGTGATATAATATAAATATAATAATAATAATAATAATAATAATAATAATAAACAAATTTAAAATGAATTTCTTCTGAATTACTGCTCTGCAGACTTTGTTTACGAGGTAGCCGTGTGACCCTCCTCAAATACTGTTAGCCGAAAGGCCAAAAAGTATGTATATTAATAAATTGTAAATTAGAAACCCTGAAAGGCATATTATGCCGAACAGGCAGGAAATAAATGTAAAAAAAAAACTATCAAATGTTTGGACCATTGGACACCCACACAAAGACACTGACCAAGCAGGGCACAGTCATTATCGTAGGAGGGCAGAATGAAATTAATTGGGGCGGTAACTTTACACCTGAACAATATGTAAACAAATTACAATGAGCCGCCCAAAACTCTTCACATTGTAGTCTCAACTCTGCCCTTCTGGTACAACAGACCAACACTATGCAGCGAGATTAAGCACGCAAACCAACAATTAAAACTGCAACTGAGAGAAACAAATGTTACACTTTTTGAAATCAATTTCCTCTCAGCAAAACACTTCACCCGGTATGGTCTCCACATGAACTTTGCTGGAAAACATACAGTCGGCATAAAGCTTGCACAACACATCACCAACTCCAGTCCTACGCAGCCTCTGCCAAAAATCCATCCCTTTCACCTTCCTTACGATGTCCACCCCCACCCTTATTTCGAACCCACTTACCTCCTCTGATCCTTCTCCCACTCCCCCTACCAATTATCCTACACCTGATGCCTCAGTTTCCTCACAACCTGTCACTGCAGGGTCACACTACAACCTTCGTCCACGCACTCGAGGTAAAAATGGCATAAATATATAGCAACTACAGTCAGATGCAGTAGAAAAACTAATTCTTTCTTTCATTTCTAAGCATCATAACGTATCTCAAGGCTTCCTCCTCTACTTTAAAAAATGCAAATAATTTTTGAGAAAAGTGATACGGCAGGCTAAAATCATGAAACGGGACCATAATTTTTTAAACTCAAATAATAAAACAAAAGCAATGTGGAATATAGTAAAACATTCGACCAAATCAACTAGAAACCTTGAAGAAAATGTTGTTTTAAAAGATAACGATAGAAATGTGAACGATCCGGCAACAGGGGCTAGCCTCTTTAACCAATACTTTTCGAGAATTGCTGCCGATCTCAGTAAGGGTCTTCAGCCACAAACTTCAGCATTAGACGTTTCCCCAAATATTTTAGGCACGATGTTTGTTTCCAAAACGTCTTCCCATGAAATTATGAAAATAATCGGTAAACTAAAAAATTAATATTCGCCCGGTTTAGATGACTTTCCGGATTGTTTGTTAAAGGCTTGCGCGCGCGCCATTATACACCCCTTAACTCACATATTTAATGTATCCTTATGCACAGGAATTTTAAAAGATTTTTTAAAACAACTACGATTAAGCCGCTTTTCAAAAACGGCACCAAAATCTCTTTTGTCGTTTTTTTTCTTCAAAAATATTAGACTTTTTAACGTACGAATGGAAACATTTCTTAGTAAACACGGCGTGTTTTCAGATTGCCAACATGGCGTTCGAAAATCAAAATCTACGGAAACAGCCATATTTTCTTTTCTTAATGATGTCTCCTCATCTATGGATCAAAACGAAGCTCCTATTGGAATATTTTTAGATATTTCAAAAGCCTTTGACGTCATTGATCATAACATTGTACTCTCAAAATTACCTTCGTATGGAATTCGTGGTTTCTCTAGATTGGTTATATCCGCAATTTAAACAACGATCTCAGGGAGTATAAATACCTTACTGGAATAATGAAACATTATGTACGCACCTTTCTGATTCTTTGCCAATGCATGTAGAGTCTCGCACAGATCGATTTTAGGTCCTATTTTCTTCTTACTGTACGTAAACGATATGCCCTCGACGATTATAAACGGAAGAATAGTTCTCTTTGCGGATGATACGAATATTCTTTGCAATACAGAAACCGTAAATAGTTTAATAGCAGATATTTCAAATTGGTTCCGTAATAACAAATTAATACTTAATGAAAAGAAAACTGTTTCAATGCAGTTTTCCATTTCAAACAAACAGCTCTGCATTTCACTGAAAATGAACGGTGTGCCATTGGCTGATGTTAAGGTAACAAAATGTGTAGGTCTTTCAATTCAGTTAAACCTTAAATGGAACGTCCATTTAAATGAATTGAACCCTAAATTAAGTTATTTATGCTACGCTTTCAGAATTCTTTCATATTCAGTCAGCCTACACACTGCTCGTTGTGTATTTTTTGCGAATGTTCATTCCCGCCTGAGATATGGCCTAATATTCTGGGGAAATATATCTTATAGCTCCCTGACTTTTAGATTACAAAAATAAATTGTACGAATAATAAGCAAATCCAACCTACGTGATTCTTGTAAGCCTCTCTTTATTAATCTAGGTTATATATAGGTATTATAACCATTACCTTGTTCCTTAATATATGAATCAGTGCTTTTTGTCAAAAATGACTTTATAGGGGCCATAATATATTTTCAGCAAACGCCGTAGTCTATTACTACAACACTCGACGTAATAATCACATTCATCAGGTAATAGTATCACCACCTCACTACAAAAAAATTACGTAAAATACATTACATTATTTTACAACACCTTGTCAGATGGCATTAAACGATTAAAATCGATACAAAAATTTAAGTCCCAAGTAAAATATTTTCTGCTGCATAACTGTTTCTATACAATTAGAGACTATACTGAGCATCTAAAAGGAAAGTTATATTAATGTTTAAAATGACATTTAATGTATTGTATATCATTTTTATTGTACAATTGTAAAGAACCTATAAGAAGTATTGTACTTCAGCTTCTGGGTCAATAACCACCATCTCGATCAGGTTTTCGTCCAGTTTCCGTGATCCTCGAACAAATGCTAAGATGGCCCATTGTTTTGCTTTTGGATATAAATGTAACTTCAAATTTACTCCTGCCCATAGCACACAGTTTTTAACTGTTTTTGACGTAAATAAATAAATGTTTATAAATAGTAATTTATTTCCCTTAAAACATTCTGTATTCAGAATCCACGTTTTACGGGTCCTTGATATCGAAAAATTGGTTTGCGATAAAACGTCAATTATTCCGTCGGTTCATATGTCGTCAACGCTAGCGACTACACAATGGTCAACTCAATGCTGTGACGACACAGAAATCAGCTCTCCTGCTCCGAACCCAGACACAGACTCGACAGCGGGCACACAGTGTTCCAATGATTTTACGGAAGTGGGAGGAAAGGGTCGCTTTGAAAATCGATAATTACTTTTTTAAATATTAATTTATATTTATAATGTTTATTATTCAAAAAAAGGGTAAGAATTATATAAAACACATTATTACTCACATGATTATAACATATAAGAAAGTCAACGAGTACATATGGTTTGCCACTCATGTTAGCTGAAACACCGACAAAGGCTCACTGCCAACATTTGCGGTTCCAGCGACCGCCGTGAATCACTCTCTTCCTCCTACCCTCGTCCTCTGCTCACACTGCTTCTCCAAGCACCTACACACGGAGGGGACGGCTGATGTGACGTCATTTCTTCTCTAGTTGGCAATCGCTGGACTAAACAGTTCCGACAATTTTCTCCAAATCTGATATTCCCCTGCCAGATTTCGAGGCCCTGCGAATTTGAAACTAATATTTCGATTTGGGGGTAAACTTTACATAAATTCTTACTTAACATACATACTAATCACTAAATCATTATTTAACACATTCAAAATTCTTTAAATAATTGCACCACTTTTTTATTAAATTTTTAGCTCGGGTAGCATAAAAGATGCTCTAAGATTTGCAGATCGCATTTTCGTTGGACTCCCTGAATTTTCGAAAATTGCAAAGGTACAAAACTTGTTCCGTCGTCCGGATGGCCGAGATCGTTAAGGCAGTAGAACCGTTGTGATCTCGGACAGATGGATCGCGAGTTCGACTCCCGCCTCGGGCATGGTTGTATTTGGGTTCGTTTTTTCGCTCCTTATCACAATGTCATCTTCGTAGTTACCATAACATTCAATCCAATAGTGTTCGCAAATGATCTAGATGTTGATGCGGCCTTAAATAATAAAAAACATTTGTTCGGTGTCTGTCTATAGCAACAATTCGGAAGATAGATATTTTTTCTTTAAAGAAATCTTAGACCAAAATCGAAGATATTTAAAAAGGAGATGCACATTTTTAAGAAAAACAGCTTCACAAAATTTTGGTTGCAATTAAAGGTAAAAATCCTAAATGCCCTCAACAAATATATATATATATATATATATATATATATATATATATATATATATATAGTTATTGGTAAATTTAAAATAATTTAAATTTAATTTTCAAAAACATGTTTATGTAATTCAGTCATGCACGACGCGTTGAGCTTTGCTATAATGAGGTTCGAGTAATGAGTTGAATAAAGAATGCTGTAGATGATCATAATTAACGCTGGTAATGCAGTTTGCACTGATGGCTTTCAAATAACTACACCTAGAGTATTCAGTAATATGGTAAAAATTACATGTATGAAATTGTCACTTCCATTTGGCCTTCTTCGTCTTGCTGGCTCTATCCTTTGCTTTTGAGAAGAGGCAGTTGGTGAAGGTGCGCACTGCTGCCCAAAGGATAGCAGCGAACATCGCCAAGATGGCCGCCAGCACCACCCCCACGTCCAGCAGCCACAGCTGCACCCACGACAGACCCACGGCGGCGGAGCGCAGGTGTGGCGCCCCGCGGTGCCGCATCACGTACTCCGTCCACCACACCGCCGTGTCCAGCGGCGCCTGCGGCCGGTCGCGGAACTGCTCGCTCAGCCGCCTCGCGTTCTCCCGATAGCTGCAACAAACGCTCTCTAAGAACAAACCACATTTCTCGTTCTCCCTTTTTCCTGCAACACACGCTCCCTCGGAGCACGCCACATTGCTCATCCTCCTTATTCCTCTAACAAATATTCTCTCAGAACTAGGCACACTACTCGCTCTCTCTGTTCCTCCATGGAAACATTAAAATGTTGTACATTGGGTTCGTTTAGATTCGTAACATCAAACCACATTTCTTCGCTCTCTGTTTTCCTGACACAATCCTTTCAACTCGTAATAGCCACCATGTTCCTTCATCCGCCAAGCGTTCTCACCGTAACGGAGACGATCGCTTTCGTGATCACTCAGCTGTCGCGCTCGCTGCCAACGGCTGCGAGAGCCCCAGAGGGGAAGGCGGTGTCGCGCTCACCTGGGGTCGTTGAGGACGGCGTGCAGCGCCTGGCGGAAGGAGTCCTCGGTGATGTGGTCAAACGGGAGCACGCGCCCGGCCCCGTGCTGCTGCATCAGGAAGCCGTTCTGGTGCTGGTCGCTGAAGAACGGGATGGTGACGGTGGGCACGCCCCAGTGCACGGCCTCGTGCGTGCCGCCCAGGCCGCCGTGCGTCACGAACGCGCGCATGTTCGGGTGGCCTGCGACAAGCAAAGTTGCGCGATGGCGACGTTTGAGATTCTCCGGTATTGATGGTACTCTCTTTTGATCTAATCTCGAACTATTTCATTTCAAAAAGTAGGATGATGCAGCTATAAGATGCTGTTGAACGTTGGATTCCATCGCGAACCACTTGAGTACAACTGGTCTGCAGCGCTCTCTAGTAGCGCTTCTAAATTTTGCGGAGTTTCTGCAATTTCTTGCATTGTTCCATGCTAGTCCCCTAAGTAAACATCGAGTGTTGGGGGCCGGACAAGGGCTACGCCTCTGGCTAGGGCCTAAGCTTTGGAGAACGCTTTTCCTCCTCCCTTCAGCAACGCTACAGTTTATTACATCCAACAAATATCTCCATCATTCTCTTAAACGTCCTACACGCTATCCAAAGTCAAAGTTTAATCAAAACTATTGGTGCCGTTTTTAAAAAAAATCGTTTAAAAGAATTTATAATTGTTTATATTTTACGCAAAATTACGCGAAAAGTACTCAAATTGTGGAAATATTGTACATGGTCTTATTTCAAAACATAACTTACTTTACATAATTCATTTAGGCTAAATCTCTATAACTGTAGTTGTAGGAAGAGGCCGGAAAAATTTGCAATTTAAAAAAAAAAAACAGGGTTTTTAAGGAACAAGAGATCCCTTCCATTCTCTTAAACATCCTTTACACTATCCAACAAAAAAATAGTCATAAACGATGGATACTGTGGTTTGGATATTTTGGAAATGTCTCACGGGTTTTATATACAATGCCCCCTAAATTAAATCGATTTGAAATTCCAGGGGCCGCGACAGCAGCCAGATCGATTGCCGAATGTCAATTGTGGAGAATATCGGCTGAACGGTTTAGCCACTAGCGTTGTTCACAACATACTGACATGCGTTTTGCCGTCTATCAATTCTTCGGTATCATGGTCTCACAAAATATGGATTCTGGCTACACCACGTGTTAGAGAATTTTTTTGCTAAATTTTGCAACTGGATTTGTACACTTTTTCATTACCAGGACCCGGCAATAAGAGGTTTTCTGCCAAAAATACAAACATCTTCATTCGAAAATTTAAAAATTTAAATAATGTTCGGCGTCTTTCAACAACTATAGCTATAAATATACAATTTTTTTGTTAATAAAATATGTTCATCAAAAACACATCTTCAAATAAGGTCATGTTGAATGTTTCGAAAATATGAGTATTTTTGAGCTCCTTATTTTCCCTTTGTGAACGTAATTTGAGAGGTGTTCCTGGCTATCGGCATAAACGCATGTATGCACCTCATGCGCGTCGTTTGAATTTAATGGGTTTGGATTTTTTTTCTGATACTTCAAATGAAAGAGA